TTTTTTAGGAGTGAGTATTTTATCTGATTTTGATATTCATGTAATATTGGTCTTGTAAAATGAGTTTGACACCATCTCTTTTCTTTTCATTCGATAGGATACTTTGAGGATCATTGGTGTCAGTTCTTCAGAGGTCTGTTAAAATTCAGCATTGAGTACAACTGGGCCTGAACTTATATTTAATCGGGAGAATTTCTATTTTATTACTGATTCAGTAGCATGGATTGTTATAGATTTCTTTAAAGATCTCATCTTTGTTTAATCTTGGTAGATCGTATATGCTTAGAAATGCATCCATTTTTTAAAAGATTTTCCAATTTAGTGAGGTATATATCCTTTATGATTTCTGAATTTCTTTCCTGTTTGCTGCAATGGGTTCTTTTTATTACTTTAGTTCTTACCTCTGTTTTGGTTAGTTTGGCTAAGGCTTGTCATCCTTTCAAATAACAATTCTTTGTTTCATTGTGTCTTTGTAATTTTTTGTTCTTATTTCATTAATTTCTGCCCTGACCTTAATTATTTCTTCTGATGTATCTATTTATATCTGTTGATTTGGAGTGTGACTTGTTCTGTTTTTTCCTGTGTATTATTGTTTATTTGATATCTTTCTGATTTCTTTTAAATTTTTATTTGCTTATTTATTTTTATTTATGTGTATGAATGTTTTGCCTGAATATATGTAAGTGTACCCATGTCATGTAATGCTCATGGAGGCCAGAAGAGAGCATCACATCCCCTGGAACTGGATTGATTTGGAGTGTGACTTGTTCTGTTTTTTCCTGTGTATTATTGTTTATTTGATATCTTTCTGATTTCTTTTAAATTTTTATTTGCTTATTTATTTTTATTTATGTGTATGAATGTTTTGCCTGAATATATGTAAGTGTACCCATGTCATGTAATGCTCATGGAGGCCAGAAGAGAGCATCACATCCCCTGGAACTGGATGGTTGTTAGCTGCCTTGTGGGTGCTGAGAGCTGAACTTGGGTCCTCTACAAAAGTAGCCAGTGCTCTTAACAGTTGAGCCATTCTAGCCCCAAATCTTTCTGATGTCTTAATGTAGGTAGGTACTTGTGCGGACTGCTTTAGTTGTATCCCATGACTTTGACTATGTTGTATTTTCATTTTCATTCAGTTCTGGAATTTTATTTCTTTCTTTCTTGATTTTTTTTGAAGTATTTTATTATTTTTATTTTATGTGTATATGTATATTGCCTGCATGTATGTAAGTGCACCTGTGTTGTGCAATGCCCATGGAGGTCAGAAGAGGGCGTTGGATCACCTGGGACTGGAGTTACGAACAGTTAGGCACCGTGTGGGTGCTGGGAATTGAACCCAGGTCCTCTGCAAGAGCAGCCAGTGCTCTTAAGTGCTGAGCCATCTCTCCAGCCCCTTTCTTGATTTCTTCAGTCATCCAATAGTGTGTTGCTTGAGCTCCATGAGTTTGTATCTGCTCTGTAGTTTCTCTTGCTGTTAGCTTCTAGTTTTGTTCCACGTATTCAGCTAGAATACAAGGAATTATGTCAGTTTAGATATTTGTTAAGATTGCTTTGTGCTCTAATATATAATCTATGTTAGAGAAGTTCCATTGGCCAATGAGAAGAATGTATGTGTTTGGCAGTGTTTGGGTCGAATGTTCTGTAGATGTCTGTTAAGTCCATTGGAATTACAATGCCTTTTAATGCATTTCTTTGAAGATGTGCTGGGCTTCAGCTGTACTGTTTGTTTTATGCAATTGGGTACACTCATATTCAGTGCATATATGTTTAAATTGTAATGTTCTGTTGATAGACTATTCTTTTACTCAATATAAAGTGATTTTCTTAATCTTTTTTGACTAGTTTTGGTTTGAAGTCTGTTTTGTTAAGTATTAGGATAGCAACAATTGCGTATTTCTTAGTTCCGTTTGCTTGGAGTACCTTTTTCCATCCTTTCACCTTAAGGTGGTGTCTGTCTTCTATGGTGAGGTCCATTTATTGGAAACAACAAGTAAAAGAACCCAGCCTTTAATCCATTCTGCCAGTGTGTGCCTTTTGATTGGAGGAATCAAGCCCATTTTATATTCAGCATTATTACTGCAAGGTGTGTATTTCTGTAAATTTTTTCTTGATTGTGCAGTGTTTGCCATTTTCCTTTTTCCCCCTCTTGCTTAACTATTACTCATAATGGCTTATCCTTTGTGTGGCCTTGTGAATGTCTTTTTTCTTCAGTCCAAAGGATTCCTTCAGGTATCTTCTACAGTGCTGGCTTAGTGCTATAACTCTTAAAAAAATCTGTTTTTATCATGGAAAGTTTTTCTTTCTTCTGTTAGGACAGATAGCTGTGCTGGAGTGTAGACTGGTTGGCAGTTGTCTTTTGGAACTTGAAATGCATCCTTCCATGGGATCTCAGCTTCTCGAGTTTCTGTTGTGGTGTCTGCTGTCTGATGGTCTCTCTGTATACATGACATGGTGCTTCCACTCTGCTGCTTTCAGGGTGCCTTCTTTGTTCTGTGTTCTTAGTGACTTAGTCAGAATATGATGACGGGAGATCCTTTTCTGATCTTGTCTGTTGTTCTAAATGCTGCATCGGTCTGGATTGCCATTTCCCCCAGGTTTGAGGGATTTTCTCTAAGATTTTGTTAGTTCTTTAGAACAAAATGCTTTTCCTTCTTCTATGCCCATGAGTCTTAGATTTGGTGTTTTCATCGTGTTCTGAATGTCTCGAAAGCCCATTTCTACCTTTTTATCCGTTTGTCTTTGTTACAGTGTCCGGTTGTTCTGCCTGTCCCCACAAGCACACACCCCCTGCTCTCCTTGGTCCATCTGTGGTGAGCGTTTCCACAGTTTTGTGTTGTGTTTTTTCATTCCCACTCTTTCACTTTGGTTTCTCTTCAGCATTTCTCTTGACTGAGCTTTTTCTCAGACATTCTATGTTGACGCTTTACTCCATCTAGCTGTCTTCTGTGTGTTCTCTTGACGTTCATTCAGGAGTTTGTTTTCTTCTTTGATGTCTTTGAACTTACCTATGATGATTCTTTTGAATTCTCTGTTATTTTCGTCTAATTCATTCTTACCAAGGAGGCCAATACCATGAGATTAGTAGATTTTGGAGGAGTTGCATTGCTTTGGCTTTTCATGTCTCTTCTGTTGTCATACTGGAATTTAGGTATCTAAGGTTGTTTCGTTGCTTGGATTTTTTTTTTTTTAATAGCTGCTTCTTTCAGTTGAAGTATTTGCAGTATACAAGTGGGGCTGTTTAGAGGGAATATCATCAGACTGGGAGGTTAAGGTGCCTGATGCAGCCTAAATTCTTCCCAGAGTACACTGCTAACTTCAGGAGCAAGCAACAGCTGCTGGATATGCCTGCCCACTGTGCAGTATACTAGCTGAGTAACAAAACCAAGCCCTTTGACTCCAATAGCTGTTGGAGGATAAAACAAACAAACCAACCAAAACACCCCCTCCCCAACCCAACCAAACAAGGATTTTATGGAGCATACTGGGATTCGAATTACTAAATTCAGGAGTTGGAGCAATGTAGGGTGGGTAAGGATAGGTCTAGTATTAGGTCACCTTTGAAAAAGATGATGATGGGAAAAGTATATGGGAGGGAAAAGTTAATATACATTTAGAGTCCACAGATTTTTAGAAATTGTTTACAGCTATGGAGAGCTGTAGTTATGATGTATAAAGAGGATGGTGTAAGGAAGGAAGCAAGAGGACACCAGATTGAATGAGAGGTAAGGTATATGAGTTATGCGCGTGATGAGTGGTGGAGGGTGTCCAGTGGTAGGCTGTGTGGAGAAGCACACAGAACAATCCTAAAACATGACTGAACTCCATACAAACAAAACAAAAACTATTATGACATATATCTACAAGAGTGGAGATTAAATAAAAAATAAGCAGGAAAAGATTTTTAAAAAGCCCTAAAAATGATAAAACCATAGCATATACAACAGTCAAAAAAGGCAACACATAATAAAAGTACATTAGATTTTAAAATTTGCCTTTCTTGGTGAGATGGCTTTACTTCTCCCCTGCGGTGTTTCATGTAGCAAGCTGCATTGCAGGGGAGATAAAATTTAGAAGGCCAGTTGAAGCCTATAGAACCAGATACTATCTGTCCAAATTCTAGACAGAGTAATTTAAAATATTAGTGCTTTTGAACGAGGAGGAGGAGGAGCAGGAAGAGGTAGAAGCAACATCTTACCACGCAAGAGATAATATCTGCAAATGAGCTTAATAAGTCAGGTGAGCTCTCTGTAGGGAGCAGGTGGGAAACTTGCCAAACAAGCTGCCAGGAAGTACTTCTCGTACATACAGGCCCCACAGGAACAGACGCTGTGGTGAAGACTTAGTGTTCAATTAGAACAGGCCTTAATATATTAGGACTTATATCCAAACTAAGATGGAAAAGTAGCACCCTGGGAGACTGCCACAGGACAACTAGGGCACTGATAGTGATGTGGCCACATGCCAAGGGACACTAAGGACCAAGAGCCACCACCACCAGAGGACAGGAAGAGACAAAGAAGCTGCCTTGGTAGGTTTCAGAGCTGTGTGGCCCTGCTGGCCCTGACTTTCTGAGTTCTGGCTGGCCCATGAACTATCAAACAATAAATAAGTTGTTTTGAGCCATCCAGTTTGTGGTCTTAGTTACAGTAGTTTTAGGAAACTAGTGTGCGATTCCTCACTACTACTTTTACTATCAAGAGTCTTAAATGTCATTGAAAATTTACATAGCCATGTGTCACTAACATTTAATCATAGTCTTCATGCTGTAAGGAAATAGCTTTTTCTGTTAGACATATCCATCTAAAGTTTTAAATTCTGTAGTGTGCTTAGCTGTATAGCACACGTGTGTGTGTGTGTGTGTGTGTGTGTGTGTGTGTGTATCTATGGATTAAACCTAAAGCCTTATGCGTATTATGTAGTACTGTACCAGTGTTGTGCTCCAGCCCATTATGGGCTTTCAGATATATGCTATTTTGAAGTATTTTACTATTGTTTTTCAGGTTGCTGAAGCTGAAAGAGATGTTTAAGTCCAAGTTTGGGTCCACACCCAAGTTTTATGTTCGTGCACCAGGAAGGGTCAACATAATAGGTATTCCAAATTTTCTTCTCTTAACTTTTCTGCTCCTCCTTTGGTAGTCTGGATTTTTCAGGTTTTCTAGGTGTATCTGTACTTTGCTTTGGTTTCTCTGAGGAGATACTTTGTATTTTTGCTATTTGGTAGGAAATAATAGATCTTAACAATTTTGTGTACTACTCTTTCTTCATAGGTATATAATGATTGACACAGTGTTAGATTAAATGCCATTTTATTCTTTTTTATTTAATGTCATAAATATTTTCCTACATTTGTATAGTGGTTATAATTACTATTTAGTGCTATAATAATAACCTACTAAGTTGATATTCTGTAATTTACTTAAGACTTTCTTTTATTGTACATAAAATGATTTTTAGTTTCTCACTATTATAGCCAGGAGTTTGAGGTTTTATTCCAGGTGGAAAGGAGAAGTAGGTAGAATAAAGGATGTATCTTCTTTCATGGCCCCTAAATTTTTCTTTTCCCCAAAAGGATGTTGAACTTAGAAGGATTTCTTCGTACTTTGAGCAACAAAATTTCTATCATTTGATTTTTCATCAAGAACCTTCTTGAGATAAATGTTATTAATGGAGCATTATTTTGAAGTCATGTGAAACTTTTTTTTGCTTCTGAGTTTGTTCTAAATCAAGGCAGTTTTAGAAGTATAATATGTACATGTACCTCACAAATAGAATTGTTCTACCTTGTGATTTATCTGTAACTGTGAGACTCATTGCCAAGGTTACTGTGGCGATATTATCGAGGATATTTCTCATGATGCCAGTGCTATCCCTTCTTTGAAGATCCAGAGAGTGTTTTTTATCATCTGATGATGTGAATCACATGTGTTTATACTATCTGTGTTAGAAACTAGCCATATGTCACTAACATTTAATCAAAGTGAACTAAATAAAGTGAAATGAAATTGCACCAGCCACCTTGTAAGCTGCTGTCAAGTGCTTCACAGCCACATGTGGCTAGTGGTTACTGTATTAGACAGCACAGACCCAGTAACTTCCCATATCCTAGAACATTCTAGTGAACTGTTTGCTTTGGCTTTCAGGAAGGCCTGGAAGAGAAGCTACTTCTTGTCCTTTTCGAGTGTCCCACAGCCATGTGATCCTTGAGAGTCACCTGGTAGCTAGTTCCTCTCTAGGTCCAGAGCATGAGCCTGGGTGACTGCCAGCTAACCCTTGAAACTTTGAAGGAAATAATTAAAAACAACTTTGAAGGATATTTATTGACTTATGTGTGTGTATGAATGTATGCATGCATGTGCATATATGCATGTGTTTGTGTGCATGTGAGCATGTACATGCCTATGTAGGTGTGCATGTACATATACATGTGACTATTTGCATGTACATGTGTGTATGTGCATATGTATATGTGTGCCTGTGTGTATATGTATGTATGTACATGTGCATGTGTATGTGTGTGTGTTCAAATGTGTTTACATATACAGAACACACTTCATTAATATTAGAGGGCTTGCGAGGAATCTCCTGTTTCTTGTCATCCCATACTTGGCTTTCCTCATGTCTTCCACTATTTACTCCATGTTCAGTCCATGCTAAATTTCTGCCCGTTCTTTAAGACTCCATTGAGAAGACCTGGTCATGAAAGATGGCCTGAGAGTCATGATGCCCACTTACTTTCTTTTTTCTTTTCACCATGCTGTAGATTGAACCCAGGGCATAGTACCTGTTGGGCAAGTATTCTACCACTAAGCTACCCCCGTGGTTCCTCCATTTGCTTAGACCAGACCATTGGAGAGCTTCGCATAATAAGCACAGCACTGGCCTTGGGTAGAGCTGTTTCATTAGCTACCAACTTGGTTTTATACTCTTTTAGAAAGAAGTTATAGGAAATCAACCATATAAAGAATCAGTCCTATGTAAAGTACAAGGAAATTAGTGTATATGTGGCAGTAAGGATGAAGGGTGCAGGAGTCAGGTTGATGCTCTCTTACAGGTGCCGGACACCTTCAGTGTTGCTGACACCCTCAGCATGGCTTGGTTCTGGCTGCATCTCACTTAGCCCTTAGGAGATGAAGGATCTCTGTGTCTCCTAGCACCGCAGTGCAGGTGTCTTCACAGGTGGGAGAATGGCACCTCTGGCTGACCTCTTCCTGGGAAGCTGTGCTAATCTGCAGCAGTGGACAGTGCTCCCCTTCATCTGATTGATTATAGGCATGGGAAATCTCAGCTTGGAATTCTGTGAGCAAAGCATCTACATTTCAGTATTTCAGTGACTTCAGCACAGTTAGAAATGCCTGGTGCTGAACCTCATGGGCTTTTAGGCAAGATGTCCCTGCTCATCAGGATGTACTGTAAGCACTCAGCACATAAACAAAACCCAGGAATCAGAATCTTTAAATTGTGCTTTTTGCAGAGATCTAGCAGTCCAAGAAACCAGAACTTGAATCTGCCTTCCCCAGTCCTTTCCTTATTAGCCTTTTATTTAGAAGTGGAACAAAGGAAATCAATTCAAATTTCCATCTCATCCTTCTGGTCAGGTTGGAATCAAGTGCCCTCTGAATGCAAGTCTGTGCTTATAACAGTCTTGTTAGTTGCAGATGTGAGTGGGGGTGGGGTGCCCAAGATCTGCATGATATCTGAATACAGTGAAAAGCTGAACTTGTCAGGGACCTCTCCTTGCTTTTTTGTAGACGCAATACATCATTTTTTTCCCCCTGAATCTAGTTCAAGCCTTTTTTTGGAGGGAAGGTAGAAGCATTCACAAATTTTCTATATAAAAGCAATTTCTGACTTTATGCCAGAGTCCTAGAAAGGAAGTATCTCAGATGGGCTCTAAGAAAGTAGCTCAGACAGATGCTGCTCCATCAGCTTGGGTGAAGGAGAACCCAAAAGTCATGGTGCAAATGTCTCTGTAGGCCTTCTTCGTGCAGACTTGCCTGGAAGAGCAAAAGAAGACCTAGACTCCTTGGTTAACTTGTCTAATTCTTGAAGAAAGTCAAAGTTGAGCCATCGAATCTAATTTGTACTGCCCATGTACTCCTGGGTGTGGAGCCCTCCACTGGAGTGTGTTCCACCTACCAGAGGCCACACCATTAGAGAAAATTGACTTTGCCTCCCCTAGAAGCCATGAACTGTCCCTACTCTCCAGTTAGGGGTGGAGGCTCATGAACCCCTTTTCTGTCCATGTTAGCATGTTGACTGGTTTGATCTTGTGTATGCAACTATGGCAACTCTGAGTTCATGAGTGCAGCTGTCCTGTCATGTCCAGAAGGCACTGTTTCACTCTAGTCCTTCCTGACTTCCATTTTTTACAAGCTTTCTGTCTTCTCTTCTGAAATGGTTGCTGGGCCTTGGGGAGGGGGTGTGATATAGATGTCCCATTTGTGGCTGAGCACTATGCTGGCACCTGTTCTCTGTACTTTGATTAGTTGTGAATTTCTGTGTTAATCACCATCCACTGCAAAAAGAAACTTCTCTGATGAGGTCTGAGAGCCACACTAATCTCTGGGTAGAGAGATAATGAATTTAGAGAACATTTTGATACTATGTCTATTTAGCAGAATAATATAGTAAGTTCACCTCTTTGGGTCTGTGAGTTCTCCAACCATGGGTTCTTGGCAAGATTTACAGTATCAGACATGTGTTTCCTCCTTTGGAGTGGGCCTTAAATTCAATCAGAAAGCAGTTGGTTGCTGCTATAACACTGGCGTTACTATTGCACCCATGGACATATCTTGCCATGCCAGTCATCATTGTAGTTCACTGAGTTCGCAGCTAGGTAAGATTCTTGATGAATTTTCCCCCTAGCAACCTTCACAGCAACTTCTGGTACTATGAAAGCTAGCTAGCAGGGAGGAAGTTTCCTTGTCAGTACTGTTCGATTTCTCCATGTTCTGTGATCAATGTGTGCAGTGTCTTCAGCAGTAGGGTCTTGCCATCAAGTTCTGGTGGGCAACCAAGAGCAATTGCAATAGGCTGTATTGTTTTGGGATCTCCTGGATGCTTCTGACCAACAACTTTTGAGAGGTATCCCATACCTGGCCCTGAACTTTTTATTTGGTAACCTGTGGCTTCTGGGATGAGCATAATCCCCTATGAAGTTTAAGTACAATTAAACTCTGTTATATGAGTATGTACATGAAGCTTATAAAGTGGTAGGTTTCATAAGACTTTTTATTTATTTTTATTTTTTATTTTTTTGGTCTTTTTGAGACAGGGTCTCCCTGTAGCCCCAGCTGTCCTGGAACTCACTATGTAGACCAGGCTGGCCTTGAACTCACAGAGATCCACCTGCCTCTGCCTCCCTAGTGCTGGGATTAAAGGTGTGCACCACTACGCCCGGCCATAAGACTTTTAAAAACATCCTTAGTGTTAGTTATCCTTCCCTTATCCCCTCCTCTTCCCTAACCTCCCATCCCTCTTCCCATTTAAGCCTTCCCATTATTTCCCCTTTCCCATATCACCCGTGTTCTACTATTACCGCTCAAGATCTCTCCTCACAATTGGTCCCTTTCTAGTTTCTTAAATTCTAAGGCATTCCAAATTCAATGGATAAATCAAAAGATTTGATGCCAAGATCAATATAAGTGCAAGAACACAGACTTTTGTCTTTCTGGATCTGTGTTACCTCACTCAACACAATACTTGAAAAAAAGTGCAGGTTGCATGTGGGGTCTCTCCCTTCCCTCGTGGGTCATTGGCCACCGTTCCACGAGGACAAAGGGAGCAGAAGCGATGAACAGGGTCAGGGACAGCCAGTGAGCACCGACATTAACAAAAACTTTCCATCTGTTGTGAGAATTCTTTTTTCTGGGGCTATTAAGCAGTGTTTTCCGTTTTTGGTTGTAGTATCAAACCAATGTTTGATTACATTAAAGTTTTTCTGGGGAACCAATGAATTTATTGAGCTTAGTTACAGAGATGACTGAGGGGTTGCTGGAGTATATGAGTGACCTGAGAGTATTTACACTGGAAAGCCTTTACTTAGCATGGATCAAGCCTTTTCTTCCTAGCCTTTCCCAGATAATATAC